AATAAAATAAAAAAGAAAGAGAATGAGAGAGAAGAAAAGAAGTGAGTTGTGTTTTGGGAAGAAGCAAAATGCATGTATTTGTAGATACAAGAGGGAGATTAAGATGAGCCAAAAAAAACTCATGGCTTCCAGAGGATATTTGTAACAGCTCAAAGTTGACCATCGTGCCTAGCGGGGAGGATCTGCAACATTGACAAAATTGCAGCAATCATACAGACAAAGAAAATGTATTTCTTCTACAACTCGTGCAACTTGCAAAAAGGTTGTAAATATTTGCAACAACCTTCTAGTATATTTTGTAATATACTTTATCTGGTGTTTATGTTATAACAATCCTCACATATTACAAAAGATAAAAAAAAAAATGAAATGAGGAGAATCTTGGGTCTCATAAAAGATATAATGCATTAAAACTAGTATACTAATCTATCTGAATTAGTCTTGGATTGATAAATGTACACACAATGTAGTTGGCACAAAGAGTTATATAAACCAAAGATACTTCATACATGTTAGCAATTTATCAATCACAATAGACCCTCATAATTCTTGTTGTTATCATTGTTTTACGCTTACTAGGTCATGCATATACCTAATATTCATGAGTTTTTTAGAAATCATGTCAATATCTCATACAAGCAGTCTCACTCGATACTCATATAGGTGATTTCATCAAGTATATGTTGCAAATCACACACCATCCATAAAGGGTATAAAAATCATTAAAAAACTTATTTAAACTAAAATTCTTACACCATGTAAGTTATCATCACTTGTTTGTTTGCAAGTGGCTTAAATCTGATTTCTCTTTATGCTTCTAAAATCATATTTCTGTCCAGGGGTTCTGTCAGAGGATTTGTTAGATTTCGATCTGACTTCACATAATCAATGGAAATAGTTCTACTCTTCAATAATCGTTTTACCAAATTATGTCTTAAATGTATATGTTTGTTATTTCCATTGTAATTCTTATTTTTAGTTATAACTACTGGCAATTGGCAATCCCAATGTATTGACACAAATGGTTTGGTTTCACTCATAGTGGAATGTTTGCTTAGAAGTTTTTCAACCATTCAACCTCACTATCAAGTCATTTCAATAACAACAAACTTATATTTCATGGTTGATTTTGCATAATTGTTTGCTCGATTGATCTCCATATAATCGCATCACCCCGAAGTGTGAATATATAACCACTAATGAATTTTATCTCATTTGAATCAAATGTCCAGTTAGCATCACTATATATCCTTCTAGTACAACGAAAAATCTATTATATTCCATAGCATAATCCATTAAACCTCTTAAATATCTTATAAGTCTTGCAGATGCATGCCAATACTCTTAATTAGGGCATTGAATGTACCTACAAGTCCATCTACTGCATAAACAATGTATGGTCTAGAAAGACGAATTAAATATAATAAGTTCTTAATTATTTAGACATACTAAGGTTAAGAAATAAATTATCTTTTATTTTTTTTAATTTAAAATTAAATGCATAAGAAATATTCACTAATTTAAAATATCATAATAACCAAACTTTCTTCCTGAACACTAAATAAATACATGCCATCTACTGAATCAAATTGGACCTTAATAATAATTCAACCAACTTCTGTAACTTTCCATCCTTCACCCTAATTTTTATCCTCTAATAATAGCCATTATGATATAGGATTGTTTTCTAACCAAGAATTACCACTGTTAAAGATGACACACAGTAACTTTAATAGGTTTCTAAAAAAACAATCATTAATACCCTTTGTTATTAATAAAGACATGCAAGTAAAAAAAACTTATTTTAATTTATTTCCTTAGAAACTTTTATTGTACTTATTGGGGAAACCTATTAAAGGTGACAATGTTTTAATGTACTTATTTGTGTCTGTAATTTGTGCAACTCTTTTTTATTGCTGAAATAGTTTGAATGTGTTTTTCACTTTATGATTTTAGAATGTAATTTGATAGGTTAATAACTTTTTTAAACAATTTTTTGACAATATATTATGTGTTATTATTTCATTTGTATGTATATTTGAAATAGATCAATCATTAGTTACCACAAATGCTGGTGTAAAAAAATTATTTAAAAGATATTTTTCTTTTAGAATTCTGTGTAGAATACTTATTTTGTTATATAAATTTTGAACAACCCCACAAATAAAGAGAGACAGGTTATCAATTATCAATTCATAGCTGGATAAGAATTAATTATGAATGAATAATTATTCTATTTTTTCTATTCATTTTACCATTCATTAATACAAAGTTCTAAAACCTTTCAACGTTTTAACATTTATGCAACTTACGTTTATTTTATATTTACTTTTTTTTTCATTTATAAATATTGAAATTTTAAGAAATCTATATTAATATAGACTGTTTTATTTGTTTGATTTTAAAATCTCATATAGAATTTAATGTGGTCAAATTGTTTTATGAATGAAATTAATGTGATAAAAGGAAAACATATTTATTATATTCTAGGGCATTGAATACCAGCATTAAATAAATTTGAAAAATTTATTGCAGTAGTAATAAGTCTATAATGAGAATTGAACTAAAAGTAATTTAAATATGGAACTGTAATCACAAATCATGAGATATTCAGAGTTGTCAATACATTAACACTATTTCCATTCATCTAATTACTTTATTTATGATTGAAACTTCATAGCAGAGTATTTCTCCTGAGTAGATTTAATCTCATGACATAATAATGTAACTCTTTTTAGCTCCTTTCCTATTTAGCTCAGAGTAATGTCATATTTACTAATATTTTTTTAAAATAAAAAATATAGGAAAAGATTCATGTAACAATATTTTAGTGGGATTTTTTTTATAATATTTATTGTGGATAAAAATAATGTCAATAAATAATAATAACAAAATAAAACTATTATTATCATTTAAGTAATCACAAAATTTAAATTCTAAAAAATCATATTTTTTTACTATTAAAAACCTCCAAATAAATAATAACACACATGCGCCTGGTTTTAATATTTTTTTAGAAAACAAAGTAACTGTTTTAATTAGTCATTATATATATGACAAATAAATTTGTAGCGTGTGTTCGTTTCCGAATATTTACTATTACTGCAGATTGGCGAAGAAGGATTTGGATGAATTTTTATATTTTAAGATGATTTTTTTAGAAAAATGTCTTATTTAACCTCTCTGTAACACACCATTGTATCCATTCCATAGTTATAATTTTATTAGTCATTGTTTTTATTATGTTAAATCATACGTGGTACATAAAATATTATTAATCAAAGTAAATTTTTGTTCTGATATTTATAAAACTACCAGATTATTTAAAAATATAATTTATTTTTACTTATAGAATGAAAGTTGGTATACACATATAATATTTTCATTTAACGAAGATTATTATTATTGAACTTGTTTTCTACAATGATAAGATGTTCTTACCTCATATCATTTCATATATATTTTTAATTAAATAAATTTTATATTTTTTCTATTTTTAGATAATTATATTATTGATATATTCACTTTTTTTTATTATGAATATTCAATTTGATTATAAAAACCAAAAACTATAAAATTATATCAATTATGATTGAATTATATTACTAAATTACAATTTTTTTACCTTTTTAAAGTTAATTTTGATAATTAATTTTAATTTTCTCTTTATTAAATTTTTTACAATTAAATATAACATTACCGATTATCATTTTATATTACTTTAATAACTAGGGACATTTTGGTAATCTTTAATTTCTACCTATTAAACAAATTTTTTATTTTATCACATCAGTCAAATCCTACACTAATTCTCACAAACTTTACTTCCAAATCCACTCTCAATTACTTCCAAATCCACTCAAACAAACAACAAAAAATTTATCCTCAAATTTCCTTAAATTCATTCGATTACTCTCTCCCAAATCATTTCCTCTAAATATCCTCAAGTGAACAAAACAGTAATGTTGATTGAGAATTTTTTAGTTAACTGAAAATTTATATGAGCACGAATAGGATTTAAAAACTAATTACGATTGGAATAAGTATTTGTGTTTATTTGTGCACGCTTTCATATAAATATTTTTGGATGTCACAATATCGACATTCGATCCTTTTGCATAGGATGTCGAATGATGTGATTTTTGGATTTTCATTCATACTTTAAATGTTTTACTCTTTTTTGAATATGAACATAGTATATATAAATCAAATAATTTTAAATCATGTATATGCAAGGAAAATTTTTAAAAAACACTTCGGCAAGCTGTCATTGTCTCCAATTCCCTCAAACCTCCACGTCCAAACTGTCAAGTTAATACACGGTGCAGGATATTTATGGAAATTTATGGAAATTGAGGGTGCAGGATGAAAGACTTTGAGGTGCAGGGTGAAACACCCTTGTTAATACACTTGACTGTTTTTTTTTTCTTTTCCCACCTTTATGTTTAATGGGCTAAATAATCCAGCTTAGTTTTATTATTCTCACCCCTCTGCATTATCACACGCCACCACTAAAACCAATCAACATCATGCAAAACCATTCAACACGCATACCCCAAGCTCGTCTCACTCCATTTTTTCCATCCATTATTGACTCCAAACCACTTGCTAGATTCCAGGTCACTGTTGACTCCAGGGCACTTTGCTAGATTCCCTTTTACCAAATATCTTTCCTATATATGTCTACGATAATTTTCTTTTATATTTTTAATTTTTATACTTTTTTTTTCTATTTTATTCTCTTTTAATTTGGTCATTATATTAATCGATATTTACTTAAATTCTTAATAAAATGATAAAAGGAATATTCTAGTGAGTCAGAAGCACGTGCAGTGAATATTTTCCTCCTTATTCTCATTTTCTAACCACTTGATAATATTGGATAGAGCACACACGGTTGATGAGGCCCACTCAAGGCATTTAAACTAAAAATTTGATTATGTAAAACCTCCATATATACCAAAACACACTCTCTGTTTTCTATCCATTTTTTAACTGTCATCCTTCTCTCTTCTTCTTCTTTCTCTTTTGTCTCATCTTGGAATATATCAATCGAACCTCTGCTAAAGTAATTCCAAAGTGAAGTACATATGCAGCAGTGACACCTATGTCGTCAGTTTCCACACTTTGATGGCGATATTAATCGTGCTGCTTATTGTACTGTTGGTTCATTTACACGGTGGTGCTCATCACAAAGAGCCAAGAGGAATTACAGTAGCGAATAAGGGTTGCGATTTGTCTCAGGGAAATTGGGTTGCTGATGAATCATACCCTCTTTATAATAGCTCACAATGTCCCTTTATTCTCAAAGAATTTGATTGCATAAGAAATGGTCGTCCTGATAAAAACTATGTCAAGTACAGATGGCAACCCAAAAACTGCAACTTACCAAGGTACATACATCTTTTCTTTCCTGTTATTCATTCAGTTTTTTATCATTATTACTTTCATCGTTCCTCACCCAATCAGATTTTCTTCACATGTGTTACAATTCACTTTGATCTATTACTGTTACTTTCAAACTCTTGAATATCCTTTTACAGTAAGTTTATTTTGTTAATCCATAAGTGAAGCTCCAACTTTGCTCATGGTTTGATTAACGTTAAACCGCAGTAAATACACGGTCTCTCAAATTAGAGTATCAATTACTACATCTTATATGGTCCAAAGAATATGACATTCGATGTAGATTTCACATCTCCTCGGGGTCCACTGGTTTCTGCTATTGAAAGAAAACCACATGCTAGAAGAAAACAATTACTTGCTTTCTAAGCCACTTAAAAGGGCTAACCACCAATCATATAACCACCGGCAGACACTCGGTTTCTTTTGCTAAATTTTAAGTTATCAATGCGATTGGATTCAGTAAGATAGAACAACTGAGTTCTTATAAACATTTTAACATGTGTTTAATCTCTAAAAATTAAAAAAAAAAGTGTCAAACACCAAAATGTGTTTGACATTTGTGTTGTGATTTGTGATTTGTGGTTGTGATTTGTGTTGTCAAAATATATTAAAATTTGTGAGTCAATGGTTCAAACCGAATAGAGTTTAAAATAATTAAAAATTTTGATATCGACTAAAATTAAATTTTGTTCACTGAGATTTTGGTTTATCCAGATAAAAATGTGATCAACCAAAATCTATCCATAAATTTTAAATTATATTAAAAAAATAAAAATCTTAAACCTAAATTCTTTTATGTCGTGGATTTATTCATTAAGATTCAAATATTATAAATAAATAAGTCACAACAATGATTTGATGGTATATAGTAATTTATTTTATATTTTTTTACTTTTGGATTGTAAGTAGAATTTAACATAATATTGGATTTATTTTATTTGTATTGTATTTTTTATTTATTTTGGATTAGAGTTTAATATCATCATGGATTAAACTTTATTTATATTTTAATTTTCTTATAAATTAAAGAGAAAAAAAATTATAATTAAATTAATGAATAACGTGTTTAATCCATCAACCAGCTGAATCAAATTCAAACTTTTTGGACTCTGTCCTAATAACTTCCTAGAGGGTCTAATGACTTGACAAGTTGTGATGTTGCTTTCACCTGTTATGTTCTAATGGAATAGACATATCCAAGATTGGTTCACAGAAAATACTATTTCAATTATCAATATGGTGATGGTTACAGATTCAATGGAGAAGATTTGTTGAGAAGACTGAGAGGGAAGAGTATTTTGTTTGTGGGGGACTCCTTGAGTTTGAATCAATGGCAATCACTCACTTGCATGCTTCACACGGCTGTGCCACGTGCCAAGTACACCTCAGTCAGAACTGGAGGTCTATCCACCTTCACTTTTCCGGTCAGAGACCACTCTCATTAATTAATTATATATATTCATAATCCTATTCATGATTTAAATCAATCTTTTTATGGCTGATTAGTAATATATGATAATGTCATAATACTACAAAAGAGAAAGGCTTAAGTAATGAGGAATGATACTATATAGTTTTGTGTTGAGACATTTCTCTTCATTTTGTTTGAATGTGACTATATATAATATGCAGAGGTATGATGTGAAGGTGATGCTTTCCCGTAACGCATTTTTGGTGGATATTGAAAGTGAAAGTATTGGTAGAGTCCTGAAATTAGATTCGATTGGAGATGGAAAAAGGTGGAAAGGAAACGATATACTGATATTCGACTCTTGGCATTGGTGGCTTCACATCGGAAGAAAACAACCGTACGTAAAATACAGACATTATTATTAATCCTATGATTATCACATGCAGTTTGGTTTCACTCTTCTCTTTCTGCAGATGGGATTTCATCCGAGAAGGAAATCACACATACAAGGACATGGATCGCTTGGTTGCATACGAGAAAGGCTTGAAAACATGGGCCAAATGGGTTGAAGACAACGTTAACCCTAAAAAAACAAGGGTGTTCTTTCAAGGAGTGTCTCCAGATCATCTAAAGTGTGTAAAGTTTAAGAATTTGTGATTGTGAGTAATTTTGTGCTTGCAAGAATTGACGTTGAGTTTGTGTAATGCAGTGGAGGAAAATGGGGTGAGACAAAGGAAAGATTCTGTGAGGGGCAAATGGTGCCAGCTTCTGGATCAAAGTATTCGCACCCAGCTGAGATAGTGTTACAGAAGGTGTTGGGAAGCATGTCAAAGCGTGTGAATTTGCTGAATATTACTGCATTGTCACAGATGAGAAAAGATGGTCACCCATCTGT